TGCCACTTCGTGCAGTCGATGAATCGAGGATACATGTTGATACTCCATTGCGTGTGGAGGTGGGGGGAGTGCACCAAGTAATTACACCAAACAATGACACCTTCATTTCTTGGATCTTCATCCTAAGCCGATTATAGAGAAATTCAGTCTCCACTTACGTACAAAGGGGCAGTTGCTCTTACTTTATATTTATTTTGTACCTCGAAACACTTCACCTGCATTGCAGAAAAATAAAACAAGAGACTAAAACGCCATCGGCTGATCATCTAGAAATTCTAATGAACTCACGTCTAGGACTGATAATATGAAAGATGTACTGAGAGAAAACATGACATGGCTGTTCTAAGTTATTTATGGATACAATATATCTGACAGCGTCTATACAATGAAAGCAAAGAGATAACAATCAATATGTCATCCACTACGACTAGTCAACGATTCCCCGTGATTTCTCAAACTTTTCCAGTTCTTTTTGAACCAAATCGTCAGATTCATCCGTCACTTCAATCACATTCTTCACCTGAAAACAGAAAGTCTAGATTATCACCGAAGACATACTTCTCGTCAGCGTACTTCGGGGACATAGAACTGTAACATGTTCTGTATTCCAGCCTTGAGAGTCACAGATGAGCTGGGGCAGCCCGTGCATGATCCCTAAACGAAATTGGAAATACAGCATAGCCATTCCATTAAGCAAGCACACAGTCGTACAAACCTTTAGTTTCAATTTCACAACTCCGTCTTCAAAGCCCATATAGGTTATATCGCCTCCATCCTCTTGAACCATAGGTCGAACTCGTGAGTCCAATAGCTCTTTGATCATTGCAACGGTGTCATCATCGTCTTCATGAATGGCTGGAAACAAACTATCACAGTTGAGATATCTTCCGTATAGAGTGATGCCAATCTAATAAGAGAAGGATACCAGCATAAGTTGAAGATTGGAGAAGAGTTGTACAGTAAACGCGTCCTCAAACGCTGATTCAGAATCTGCTTTCCTTTTTTGCGGAACCACTCTCCGAAAGAAGTTGTGAGCATTTAGAAATTTAAATCTGTCAAGACTTTAGAGGCATAAAATTAGCGAAAAGCTTTAAAAAACACCTGAAGAGGTAATCAATTCTGTATTAAGTGTATTGACTACAAGGAAGAAGCGCATCCAGTGAAAATTGGCACATTTTTGTAGAGCTTTTCACTAATTTTATACCACTAAAGCCTGACAAATTTGGACATTCAAACGCTCATAACTTCTTTCAAGCTGTTCCTCCGCAAAAAGGAAAGCAGGATTGGAATCAGTGTTTGGAGACGTGTATAGTGATATAAAACTCCAACTTATTTTGGTATCCCGTTTTTGTAAGACAAGTGCTAGCACAGACAACTGGATGAGAGGAAACGATCGCACGAATCTTCTGGCTAATTTGGTGAAAATAATTATCATAGTAGCAAAAAAAAGGAATCAAATCTGTCCTCATGAATGCATCTTCTCGACATTTAGCAGTTGAGAATCTTGACTACAGATATACAGAAAGATAAGTGAACGAGTGTTAGGAAAATAAATGGGAACATCAAATCACCTGTGTCTTCGTGCTCCGGTTCCGAATGTCCTTCCCTGATGACCGGCTTCCCTGATTCGATGTAATTCGCTATGGTTGAGAAGACTTCTGGTCGTAT